TTGCTTTGATTTCTCGTACCAGACGAGGATACGTAGGCACAAGACAGCGATGTCTTGGTGATCAACCTTACCCCATCTTCACCTGTAGTTTTCCGAACTACGTTGACTCTGACCTTCCCATTGCGCGAGGGAGTACGTAGGCATAGAACAACGATGCTCTATCGAGTCTCTTTTCTTTTCTTTTGTCTTATGAGCTTGTAGCTTAAATAGTAAACACCTTTTATATTGATAACAAGCATGGATCCCGTCGAATACGACGGACGTGAGGGGTGTTCATACCTTCCCCTTGCATAACCGACTCCCGAACCCGAAATTTGGTTGCGATGACCGATCTTATCCCTTTATCGTAGGTTTTCTCTGATCGTTTTCTTTCCCTTTCTTTGGGATAAATAACGAACGGTGGCGACTCTTCTGTCTTTGCCAACCCTTTTTCGCAGTAGCGACAACTCTCACTGAAAGAATTATACAGGATTTTGCACACAAATTTTTGAAGAGTTTAAAAGGTCTCAAATTTTTACAATTCTTTAATTTTACTTTAATTTTGTATTTTTTTCAACCAGATGATGATAATTATCTGATGGTTTTTCTTTTTAAATTTGCTTATCACTATTATTATTATGATTTGATTTATTTGTATTGATATCAACAATTCACAAATCAACTAACCCAAATTATCTTCACAAAAAAATCATTGGACATGAAAACTCTCACTAATCTCTCTCACACATATAAACTCACAGTCACATCAAATTTTATTTACATATTTTTACTACACCTAACAAATAATCTTGCATTACTCTTTTCTACCTTCATAACTATCATTTCTCATAGATTTATAATGACTAATAATTTATATTTTGACTTTTAGTTTCAAGAGATTTGTCAGAATTTTAACCTCACTTTTATTGTCTTATTTGCCTTGCAATTTCTGCATCTTTAAGCGAATAGTTGTTTCTAAAATTTTAATTGAGTTATTCCTTAAATTCATTTCTTTTAAAGCAAATTTTAATGGAGAGAGGTCAATATTAATTAAGATTTTAGCTTTGATTACAAACATAATTAGTCTTAGTTTACTATTGTTTTTATATGTATTATTTCTATTTAAGTTTTAATTCCTATTTAAAATTTGACATTAGCTTTAATATTAACCTTAATTCTATGCCAGATGTTTTTGGACTCATCTCGATGTTAATTTGAATATTGGTTATGGTTAGGCCATGATCGAATTTTCTCGCTAGTTACTTGTGAAATTTCAACATTTATCTTCGATAAATCAAATTAAGATAAAGGATTAGATCTTAGGTTTAAACTGTTGTAGGATAACTTCTAGGATATGAGTCTCCCTTTTAACCTCAACTATATAATCATTTGGCATGACAACATCTAACACTGAGTCTCCCTTAGATTTTTCTTTTACCCCTTGAGTCTCTCTCTTCTCTCTCAAATCAAATAAAGATACTTAATAAATACGATGTGCATTGTCCGTCACGAGCCTCAAACACATGGGAAAAGATGAGCAGATGTATTTCTAACCTCATCTTATGGTACTTTTTGCATGAGACGTTTGGATCGTTAGTGCAAAGTGCTCACTTTTATGTCATAGACTTTAGTGCAGTACACATTACAAACAAAGTCAATCCACTTCTTTAAAATCCTCAAACAAACTCGAACCAATTTGTCCTTCAAGATTTCCTCCCAAACCTTTTTTCAGAAAGGGCTTGTTACCTCTGTTCTACCGCAAACAGGCATCGACCCTAACTGATGGAACGTGAGCTTAGCGTCGCTCATAAAAGAAACCAACCAACCCATAGTAGTTCAAACTATTACTCCTCTGACTTCTTCATTCTCGTCAGCATGAGGATACGTAGGTACAAGATGACGAAGTCTTGGCGAGCATAATACCCTCAATCACCCGTAGCCCTCCGAATTACATTGACTCTGACTTTCCTATTGCACAAGGGAATACATAGGCATAAAACAACAAAGTTTTATCGATTCACCTTTTTTTTAGTTTTCGTTAGCATGTAAAGCTTTAGATAAACACACCATTTGATTAAAACAACAAGTGTGGATCCCGTTGAGTACAACATACACGAGGGGTGATAACACCTTCCTCTCGCGTAATCGACTCCCGAACCCAAGATTTTATTGCGAGACCGTGTCTTCTCCCTTTTGAGGTTTCTTCGATCGTTTCCTTTCCCCTGTTGGGATAAATAATGTTCGGTTGCGAATCTGTTTTTCCACCAGTTGTTTTTTTGCGTTGCGACAAATACCATGTTCAAGAATATCCCACAACTCATCATCAATGCTTATTATGTTAGTGTACATCTTACTTTTCCACCATTTAAACTCCGTGGAATCTCCACTGAAGGTTGAACGTTTTGTAGTATAGTTGTTTCTCTTACAAGTAATATAGTCATGGTTCACAACATTGTGAACAACATTACCACCAGGACTACCAGAGTTATAAAACACATCATATATGTTTTTTCTCTTAGGATCTTTTTAATATGCCATTGTTAAGTGTTTATAACACATAACTTGTTCTGATGCCAACTGAAGGTGAGAAAAACACAAAAAAAAAAGGTTGAATTGTTTTACATTTTTCTTTCTTTTTTCTAAAAATATCTTATTAGATTATGAACACAAAGTATAGAATCTGATACAGAGTCGAGTGTTTTCAGCGGATAAAAATAAGTTCAGAGGTAAATAGTGAAAGAAATAGAGACACATTCAAGTTTATCGTAGTTCCTCCCACAAAACGAGAGTAGTCCAACCCCCTTGCACTTCCAAGGGATTTCACTATAATCATAACTGATTACAAATGCTTAGGCACATAAACAAGAGATTTATAATGCTCAAACACCCAAGTAAGAAATTTATAATGCTTAAGCACACAAGCAAGAGACTTCAGATGCTCAAGCATGCAAGCAATAAACTTCTTACAGTCTAATTTAAAATATGGGTTGAATATTACACTTGATATACAATCAAAGGTGTAAAGAAGACTCTTAAGACTTAAAAATTTCTAAGATATACAACTGATAAGAAATGATAAGTTAAACTTATGCTTTTTATTTGACAAAGTAACAAATCTTTTTATTGTCAAGGATTGGTTATCTTTCTTCAAATCTCCAGCTCCATATATAGAAAAACATAAAAATAGTCGTTGAAGAGAAGAGCTAGCACACGTGAGTCTTGGAGAATCTTGATCATAGACGTTAAAATGATACTTTATATGGTTAATTCCTTTGAAAAGATATTCGAAATCCCTTTTCTTTAAGAGGAATTATCCGTTAGAACCCAACTGCCTATACATATATTTTGTTTGGATTTACACGTAACCCAAAAAAGGCAAATTGCTATGAGTCTGATAGTGACCTATCAGAGTCTTCTTGATCCATGCATTGATTGACCTCAGAGTGTAATAGTGACCTATCAAAGTCTTTTTAATCATTGCGTTGACAGTATCAAAGTCTTCTTGATACAATACATGGGATCATTTTCTTTATGGACGTGTCAGTATGACATCATTACCATACATATTTTAAGCTTAGTTAACACCTCTTTGCATTCACCTGTTAATTTAAACTTCTCATTATTCTTCAAAGTGGCAAAGAAATGGAACGCTATGTCACCTGCACGGGAAAAAAAAGAGTTAGGGATGCTAGGCGACTTGTTAGTTGCTAAACCTCCTTGACGTTTGAAGGGATCCCCGTGTTGATGATAGCCTAATATTTTATAGTGCTTGCCTCTGTCCAAGTTAGTATAAATCCAAATAATTTATCTGCTTGATTTTTGAAATAGTACTTGGCGGGTCAATGCACATTTTATACCTCAAACGTTTGGTTGTGGCAACATATATCGTCCATAGTAACATACATATCTATTATGACCCCATGGTCATCGCTAAAGCTACTGTCGGCAAAAGTAGTTGCTCACTTGTTCACCATACTAGAGAAGATGATGATGGTGGGAAAATAATTGACTGTTGATTACAAGGTTGGCTTATGTAAAATTTGCTAAAAAAATACAATGAAGTACAACCTCTAGCGGTGTAGGGATGTTTGAGACTTGAGGTTTATAGTGTGCTAAGGGTCGATCCACGTAAGGGTAGTGAAGAGCCCATGTATACGTTCTTAAGGGGATTTTGTGATTGATTTTTCTTTTTCAGTAAAGGTATATATAAGAGATCTTTTAAGCTTGGACTTTAGAATGAAGAGTGGTTTTCCCTATACCGCAAAATGTGGAACAAATGGGATGAATCCTCCTCCCATCACGAAGAAAGTAGTTATCCCCCCTTAATTTGCTTCAGTGGATCATTATTCATCATCTACCACGTATCTACATGTGCCAGATTGTGTGAATAATGAGTTTTGGTCCAGGCCCTATCAAGTGGTTCACCTCAGGTGACCCGTCTATAGGAGCAACCTATAGATCCATTCCTGGTGATTATTACCCTGCGCATGAGCTCCCTTGGCGCACATATACTTTCTCATGGGATACCTCTACTAAGACACGAGAAAATGATCCCAATCTAGTTATTACTAGTGAAGGAAGATAATGCAATTTTAATAATGTCTATTGTCTCTTACGACTAAAATTAAATCATATTTTTGTGTAATTGATACATGTACAATAAAATATATGGTAAAAGTGAGCTATGAAAAAAATATGTAATTTCTCACTTAAAATTGATTAAAAATATTTTTTCTAAAATTATGTGAAAATAGTTTTTTTAGGTATTAGTATATAAAATATTATACAATTTTAATAGTTTTTATTCTCCTCTATTATTAAAGTTAAATTGTAAATTTATTTTAATATTAATTATTCTGATAAACCGGGCCTAACATAAACCACAATATCGATTCTGGGCCAAACCAGACCCATAAGCCCACATTTTCAGAATCTCTTTTAAGTTCACTTCATAACAACTAGGGTTTCTCCTTCCTATTATTCGTCATCGTCACCAGCCACTTTCATCACCAACAGCAGCAATGGTAACCATTTTCCCCCTTTCATTCTCTCTACATCGATCTACATAATTTAGCTTATTCTCAAACGCGATTATCGTTTTTTTGCAGGCACCAAAGCGCGGTGGAAAAGCACCAGTTGCAGCTGCTAAGAAGAAGCAGCCAGAGAAAGTGGTGAACCCGCTTTTCGAGAAGAGGCCAAAACAATTCGGGATCGGTGGTGCTTTGCCTCCTAAGAGGGATTTGACACGGTTTGTGAAATGGCCTAAGGAAGTTCAAATCCAGAGGAAGAAGAGGATCCTCAAGCAGAGGTTGAAGGTTCCACCTGCGCTCAACCAGTTCACCAAGACACTTGATAAAAACCTTGGTAAATATAACTTCATAACTCTCTGTTCATGGTAAATTATTTGTGATTGTAATATGGTTATTACGAGTTTAAATTTGATTTGATTTTAGTGTTTTTGTGAAATGTTCAATGTTTGGTCAATTTTGGGTTCATATTTTGGTACAGTAGACTTATTTGATCTTGTAAAATTTAGGGTTTTTGGTTTTTATTCTGCTTTTCAATAGTTTGTTTACTTTTGGTTTTGATTCTGCTTAGCAATAGTTTGTTTATTTTTGGTTTTGATTCTGCTTAGCAATAATTTGTTTATTTTTTGTTTTGATTCTGCTTAATTTTAATTGGTTAGTTGTTATAATTTGTGTATGATTGACTTAGAAGATTTGTTTTTGTTGTTGATTTATATGAAGCACGGTTTCCGGAAACACGACACTGTCATGTCCATAAATAAATAAATTTAACAGAATCACAAGTGTCTGTTGGTTTTAGTCTCTTGAGTATCGGTGCTAAATAAATTAAACAGAATCACAGAATCACAAGATTAGTCTGTATTCTGGTTGTTTGATCTTCTATGATTTGCTGCATGTTACTTGTTTATGTTAAATATCTTGTATGATTTTGTAATGCTCAAATATGTTAATTTTGTTTAATGCATAGAAATGATACATTAAAAGTATGTTTTTTAGAGGTTAAGATTGAGAGATGTTTGTTTACATTGTTGTGTGCTTGCTGGTATATGACATGCTCCATGTTGTGATAACTATTAAGTTTATGATGTTGATTTCTTGTTTCATGATTGTAGTATTGTATTGACCATGAATGTTTATTGTGGAAATTGTAATTGCTTATACATTGTGCTAATCAATTCTATTTAATGTACTATGCAGCCACAAACCTATTTAAGATGCTCCTTAAGTATAGGCCTGAGGACAAAGCTGAGAAGAAGGAGCGTCTACTGAAAAGAGCTCAAGCTGAATCCGAGGGCAAAACCGTTGAGACAAAGAAACCTATTAATGTGAAATATGGTCTCAACCATGTTACATATCTTATTGAGCAGGTATTGTACCTTATGTTTATCAATGATGATGCATACTCATATATACCTAATTGAGCTTTTTTTGTACTAACAATGACTTGTGGTTTTCTCAGAACAAGGCACAACTTGTTGTGATTGCTCATGATGTCGACCCAATTGAGCTTGTTGTATGGCTCCCTGCTTTGTGCAGGAAGATGGAAATTCCTTATTGCATTGTCAAGGGCAAAGCACGCCTGGGAACAGTAATTATTCTTTTTATCATTAATAGTTTTACACAAGTTCCACGTGTGAATGTCAATTTTGACTTTGTTAATGTCAATTTTTGCAGATTGTTCACAAGAAAACTGCTGCAGTTTTGTGCTTGACAACTGTCAAGAATGAAGACAAAATGGAATTCAGCAGAATCCTAGAAGCCATTAAGGTGGTTAAACTTCAGAGTTTTTTTGTTTCTTATATTTTTGTTTGCAGTATCATACTCTAAATTTTAATATGTGATTAAGGTTAACTAATCTATAACGTCTTGCTTTTTCAGGCAAACTTCAATGACAAGTATGAAGAATACAGGAAGAAGTGGGGTGGAGGTATCATGGGTTCCAAATCTCAAGCAAAAACCAAGGCGAAGGAGAGACTCGTTGCCAAGGAAGCTGCACAAAGAATGACCTAGAAGTTTCATATGCTTTGGTTATTTTAGAACTTTGAAGGTTTTTATTCTACTATAATTTTGACTGAGGTTTTCTTTTCATTCTAGTAGTTGTAATTTACAATCACTAGTACCAAACCTGCACTTTTTGCTGATTTATTTCAGTAGTTTTAGACTTAAAAGATGGAATATGTTTTTGTGTTTGATTATCCTTTGTTTCACCTATTGACTGGTTTATTTATGTTTACATTGTGCTTAAATCTATTTCAATTACCCCATTTGTTTACCTAGTAAAACTTGATCCTTACATGTTTTGCTTAAATCTATTTCAATTACCCCATTTGTTTACCTAGTATAAACTTGATCCTTACATGCTCTGCTTAAATCTATATCAATTACCCCATTTGCTTACCTAGTATAAACTTGATCCTTACATGTTGCTTAAATCTATTTCAATCCTGTTTCAACGCCATATAGATCTTCTGTATCGATCAGTACATTTTTCCAAAACACATTTTTAGAATGTCATGATCAACACATTTCCAATGTGTTTTTAGCCACTCAAATAAATATAAGGTTCTACGGCACACATTTCTATGTCTGTTTGTGTTTTGAAATATCAAAACTAAACTATTCTTAAGTGAACTTATACTCAAATATGTGTTCAATATATTAACGATTCTTATACTCAAATGTGTTCAATATATTAAATTTAAATGGTTCATTGTTATGATAACTTATTCTCATTACCTGGATTGATTTTCATTATTTTTTTCACGAAAAGAAAACCAATCACTAGGTACGGTACCCCGTTTCACTCAAATTCTTATCCCATTATCTAAACACTTCACAAATAAAAAAAATATCACATCACTCAAATTCTTCTTCCATTAACTAAACACATGTGAAGACAGTCAAGAATGTTTCAAAAATTGCCGCGGGGTTGATGCGACTATCATCTTCAACTCAATCAGTACTGCGTTGTTTAGTGGGTTCTCCAATGAATTGGTTCTTCAACTTTTGTTCTTCAACTTTTTGTTGATGACGTTGTTATTCTTTCAGCCAGTGTAATTTTTACCTTTTTCTTGGGTGTTTTTCAGTGAGTTGGTTTCTTTTGACTTTTTGTTGATAAGGATGGTGTTTCTCATTAGCTTTTTTGTTTTAACTTTTTGTTGATTTTCCCGAACAAAGTGGTATCATTGATGTGTCGATATTCCTCTAGTAAGTTTGCTCTTTGACCTTTTATCATTAACATTTACTATCATCTTTTTGGTGATAATATACGGTGTCTTGATTGTACCTCTATCCTTTTGGTGTTGGTGATTATTGAAGTTGGAAAATTACAATCATCTTTTTGGTGGTAGTAATTTGTATTGTTTGATCTTATTGTCATCTTTTTGGTGGTGGTAATTATTGAAGTTGGGATATTACTATCATCCTTTTGGTGGTAGTAATTTGTGTGGTTGAAATTCTACCGTCATCCTTTTGGTATCGGCAATCCTTGGAGCTTTGACTTGTGTATCATCCTTTTGGTGATGACAACCTCTGATACCATTATGTATTTACTATCATCCTTTTGGTGATAACAGTTTTTGATCTCACTTTCATTCTTTTGGTGAAAGGTCATTGAGTGTGTGCTTACTGTTATACTTTTGGTAATAGCAAGTTGAGTGTGTACTTACTATCATCCTTTTAGTGATAACAAGTTGTGTGTGTTCTCTATCATCCTTTTGGTGATTGATTCATCATCCTTTGGAGTTGGAAATTTGTGTGTGTTCTCTATCATCCTTTTGGTGACAAATCCTTCATCTTTTGGTGTCAGAAATCCGTGTGTGTGTGTGTTGTTCATTATCATCCTTTTGGCGATAGCAAGTTGCGTGTTCTCTATCACCCTGTTGGTGATAGATTAGTCATTCGTTTGGTGTCGAAAATCTCTCTCTGTGTGTGTGGGCGTGCTTACTATCATCCTTTTGGTGATAGCAAGTTGTGTATTCTCTATCATCCTTTTGATCATAGATCTGTCATTCTTCCGGTGTCGAAAACCTCTGTGTGAGTACTTACTAACATCCTTTTGGTAATACCAAGATGTGTGTGTTTACTATCATCCTTTTGGTGATAGATCTGTCATCCTTTTGGTATCAGAAATTCTTGTATGTGTACTATCATCCTTTTGGTGATAGATCTGTCATCCTTTTGGTGTCAGAGATCTTTGCGCGTGTATTATCATCGTTTTGGTGATAACAAGTTATGTTGTGATCTAACCCTCATCCTTTTGGTGATGGCGATCTTTGTCATTCTAATCTCATCCTTTTGGTGACAATTGAAGTTGTTGCATTAACTATCATCCTTTTGGTGATAACTAGCTTTGTTGACCTCACTGATATCCTTTTGGTGGCAACAATATTTGCAGTCTTAAGCTTACTGTCATCCTTTTGGTGTCAGTAACTTCTATCACAGTGATCTCATCGTCCTTTTATCGATGACAACCTTTGTAAGTTATTCTGTGTCCACTAGAATGTTGACATTGATTTGTTATTCTACTTTCCAAACATTTTGGTTTTCTTATACAAATTTGGAGTCTTCTTTGTATCTAATTGACTTATACCTTGAAAGTATAAACACTGACAATTCATCTTACTAGGTTTAAGCCAATTAGATATGTGCATCTGTCATACTCCAATTTTGTCCTACCTGTATAATACAACCTTCACATGTGTTCCCGCTTACTAACCATTATTCAAAAATCCAAAAATATAAAGTTGCTTTCATTTTCTAAGTTCAAGTGTTGCAAGGTTGAATTGGGTTTCAGGTAAGGATATCAGGTTAGGTGTGTGCAGTATTGATTGAGGTTCAGTTGGTTTTGACCTAATCTTGTCAAACGAGAGTTTGTTTCATGATTAAGTCATCAGTGCTTCATGGTTAAGGAATCATCAGAGTCCAGATCATCTTTTAGTTATGGTTTTGTTATACCCTATTTTTTACCCTTAAGATTCCACTTCATTTGCATCTTCACAATGCATCAAGATCACAAACATTGGTTTTCCTGCCCTCATTTGTGGGTTTGCTTCTGAGAGAGATCACCAAGCATCTGTGTGTTTCTTACTTGATTTATGATTGTTTATGTTTAGTAACCTCTAACCAAATTACCAAAAATATATTGTAGTTTGCTTGTCCCATTTCTCTGTGTGTTTAAGGTTTTGAAAGGATGACAAAGGCAATACATTGGTTTCAAGTCAAATGTGGTGATTCATTCTTGATCAAAATTAGATGGAAGTTTGACCTCATATTGGTCAAACCATCAAGAGTTTGCTTCAATTGCAAGTTATCTATGCCAGTGGATAATTTTTTAGGTAATGAGTATCCAAGGTCAAGTTGTCTTGTGGTTATCAAGCACTGACTCATAAGAAGTTTTGTTCAAAATCATATTCATCAAACCACAAGGATATCCTCATCAAATATTTCTCAAGGTCAAGAGAATTAGGGTTTTTGTTCATTATGCTTGAGCATTGATAATGGTTCCTCAACTGAAGTTCATTGTGATATGGTTTCACTTCAAGACTATATTGAGCATTATTCTTTCTCTATTGCAAGTTCATCATTATCTCAGAGTTTCTCCTCGTTATTTGCTTTACAAGTCAATATCTTTAATGAGGTTTTGAGAATTCCTCAAGAAATTACCTTTCGTGGCTAGATCATCAATGGAAGAAGAATTTTGCTAAATCAAGACCTTTTGTTGATTGAGATGCAAGTATTGATCTTTGGATTCAACATGGCATCAAGTTCTTAAGAACTTGTTTCACTCAAAATTTGATTCAAATTAAAGTTAAAAGATTCATTGTATGTAGCCTACTTAAAATATAAGTTCAAAGCATGCTTTCAAATATCCACTCAAGATCCATTCTTTCCTAAATTTACCCTTTTATTCTTTACCCATTCTCCATATCCATTTATCCAATTTAGTTTCAATAACTCTTTTTCTTTTCATTTTTGATATCCATTAGTTATAAAAAATCACTTTTTAATTTTTTCTATCCATATTCATTATCCATTTTCTTTCTAAATCATATTTCAATTATTCATTTCCAATTATCCACGTCCATAAGTATTTCAAATTTCATTTTTATTCGTTTTTCTAACCAAGTTCCATTAAAATCCATATTCCAAAAAATCATGAAAGCATAAACTTTGATTTGTCACAATTATCCAAAAAAATAGTAATTATACAAAGCTCATGAAGCATGGAGTCTATTTGCAAATTTATATCATCTTGCACCAAAAGCAATCATAGCCCATTTCCCATTAAGCCCAAATTCCATTTAGTTACCAAAATTACAAAAGAAAAATTATGAAATTTTACTACAAGGCAACAATTGCAAGCTGCAGCGAAATCCATAAAACGAATTGCAAAGGAAAAAGGTCACGCAATGTGCAACAATCATACCTTCATTTGATAAAGTTTGATAGCCAATAAAACCATGTCAAAATAACCTCCCAACTTCAAGATTCAAATCTTCATCATTCTCCTTCCATGAATCCTCAACCGAATATCCATTAATCTTCTTTCAACTTCAACCACAAATTACACAAGCTCGCATCACACATTCAAATCAAAAGAGAAGAATGGAATAAAAGAGGACAAGGAATCATTCACCTTGAATTGAAGGTATTTGGAGATTTTTGGCGAGAATTCTACGGTTTCAATTTGAACTATCCAAGCACAGTGACACGAAATTGAATACATATTTGGAATCTACACTTGATTTCGATCGATTTCGTCTCGTTTCCAAACCGTGACGCTCCGACGTGGTGAATCTTGTTCTCTCTTCTTCATTGAACAGTAGCTGCTTTTTTCTATTTCATGAAGGAAGAAGATGATGAATTAATTATTTATGATTCTTTTAAAAAAAGGTCTCATCATGTAACATTTGGGTTGATTTTTCTTTTAAAAAAATAGTTTCTTCATTTTTTAAAACTAGTTTTTCATGAAAACTTATCTTGATTATTTTCTTTATTTAATACTTTTG